TAGTATTTACTCAAAAAACAAAAGTATACTTATATCAACAAGATTTTACATATATCAAAAAAATTTAATGTGTCAAATTTAATGCCTCATTAATTTTCATATCATTAGGATATTAAGGAAGTATTCACAACGCAGCTTGCTTGCTTGTGTCTTCATATGTTTGATGATGAATGCGCCACTGATGAATGTCAGCCCAAAATGATAACGGATCTGATAAGGCATAGGATCGACTCCTAGAATCTTTATGTTTCTTAATAGGAATAAAAGTCTTAATAGGAATAAAAGTTCAGTTTCGTCGTGCTGTTCATTTTAGCACATATTTAACTTAGTCTCCAACAAAATGTGGACTTTCTAAATGATGTATTCGACGTATGTTGAGATGCTGAGAAGACAACCACAATCATATCAAATAGTCTGACCTGAACAAATACCCAACGGGTTTTTTGTTGGTACATTCAAATGCAGGAAAATTTTATACTTCTGTATGGTCGCGAAGTGTCATAGCCTAACATCCTCTCCCTTCAACTCTTCGTTATGACAATCTCGCCCACTTACGCTAATGATCATGTATCATTTTTGCAAATTACTTTTGATACAGCTGCAACGTAGATAAAAACAAAAAATCTGGATTTCCACAGTATTCACGAAAGGCACCAACCTCCATGCTTTTACTACGGACTTAACATCGCCAATTGGATTTGACGGCAGTGATACTTGACCACTAACTTCTGGATGATTAGTGAGTACGCTAGCTTCCTGAACCTCCTGAATGAGATTTGCAGCCTGAAAAATGAGAGCAGATTCCTTTCTACTATTATCAATACTTTGTATATATAAAAATCGTTCTGGACTAGAAAAAATATTTTGAACTTCCTAATACGGAAATAAGGATTCGTCACATCCATTAAAAGGTAAGCACAGAGATCTCGGTGCAATTGGCATGTAACCATATACCAAGTAAAATCAAGTAAAAAAAAAAAGTACGGAACTAGATGATCATTTTATAATAATTATCCTCTGACCGATTGTAAGTGAAAGAAAATTATTGGATGACGGTTGAGTACCTGAAGTATGCTAACATGGCTCAAAGAAACAATGCCTGGCAATCGTTTCCACTCTACGATTAAATCATCTCTTGCTGCTTCCAATTCTCTGTTGATCCGAACGTGAAGTAGTTCCGTGACTCTATCTTCTTGCATGGGATGATGATTCTATAACAGAAAGAAGTGCCAAGTAGTAAGCGTATCGGATCTATGTGAGAAAAGTTGGTACCTCAGACTTTGACACAGAAACATGAACAAAAATGATTGATTAAGCATGTATACCGCAATTGAAAAAATCTGTAACTTGATAGACTGGAACCAATCTTCAAGTTCGCAATTTTTCTTCGATTCTATTTCACAGTTATTCACTTAGCATTTTTATGTGAGCATAATAACTTCTATACAGTAATTTTGCAGTACTACTTCTACTCAGTATACAACAAGGAGAACATTTAGTATCAGTTTGTCGAGGGAAGTTCATGATATCAACTGCTCAAAGACTTTAATTTATGAACAGCCAGATATCAATGCAGTGCAGGAACAATATTTCTAAATTACTGAGTCAATAAATTGATGTGGGTAGCAATCAATATTTTCTGTTGTAACATTTCAAATGTAAATGCTGTTGTAAATTAAACAGTGGAAATAATAAAATAGTAAATATTGTCTTTATCACTCAGCCAATATCCAGAAATGATCCAGGTTAGAAATACTATAGTAAAGTCAGGAAATGTCAAGATTAAGATAACCATCAGGAAACATCAAGATTACGATAACTGAAATGATATATCTCCAAGTACCATTTTAGCTACAGGAAATACTCACCATGAGCATAGCTTTGTAAAGATAATACTTATAATATAAGTCCGGCTGTGTGCAACCTTCCAACTGAGTAAGAGTAACTCGAAGCAAGTTCCAGTCATTCAGATGCCAGGCTGCATCCGCAACAATACCAAGACTGTACACAGCAGGTGTATTACCAAACTGCAGTAAACCGTTCCATTCACCAAGCTCACGTTCGCAGCTGAAAAATCATAGGTTTTATTTACGAATTTGAGAAATTGCGGAATTTAATTACAAGTAAAATATAGTATGACTAATATATATTATCCAGGTTCTTCACTGATTGAATTCTGACTGAACTAGCAACATGAAAAATCAAAACGTGTTTAAGACTAACGTAAAATACCAAAATCTACTTATAACTTGCGATTTTTGTACATCCTGCACAACGAAATATTACCAATATGAGCATTCACAGAGAACTTATCGTATCTTGAAAAAAATTTAAAACTAACTCGGCCCATAATCTGTGCCATTCACGTAGTTCGAATCCAAGAGCAGGAGTTACGTCTAGCTGCCTGCTAGTACCACTAGGAGCAACTACACGATCATTGATGGCTTCAATCGACTTCCTTAAAGTCTCTTCTGCCCGTACGAAATCACCTGAAAATTCTTGTCAGTAAAAAGGGGGAAAAAAATGTCATAAACTATCGAGAACATCTTTGATACTCTCCATTAGAAATCATCACAATAAAGCAGTAAACAACTAAAAATCGCGAAAGGGCTGGAAGGGTTATTGGTATTGCCTCATCATTAATGACAGAATACACAGACAAAATGTGGAACATAGACCTTCCAGGTAAGGTTTTAATTGCTAGCGTTTTAATCAGTTTGTTTCGTCTCTATATCTTTAATGAGCAAACATTAGAAACAAATTTCCCATATTCCTGAAGTTTCCAAAGCCCATAAATTGTGATACCCAGTGGAAGTCCTTGGAAAAATCGTGTGGAAATGTGGGACGAAAAGCAACATTTATTCATCATAAAAACCTGAACCTTCGTTGTAATATTCAATAGCTTTTGAAGTTTCGGTAAAATAAGCACGACGCTTCCAGATTGCCTGATACTGGTCAAATTCGGATAATTTGGAATATAAGAGAATCAAGTTATTCAGCGTTACCTAAATTAAATATAAAAAAAAAAATAATCTTCAAACTATTTGGGAATCCCGAAGAAACGAAAGACAATTTTCCAGACCACATACCAACTGCATATTTGTTGGTGTTGGTTGTAAAATTTGAAGTAATAACGGGTTGTTCGTGAATGCTGGAATTTTCTCTGCCTCTTCTTCAAGAATCAACAACCCACGGTGCCATGCATGATGTCTCATCGAAATATACTACAAAAAATTGAAAATTGTACACCGCATCATAATAAGGATAATTTCCAAAGAAATTTATACATGTCCACTCATTTAATTTTAGGGATTTCTCTATCCGATTCGAAAGTGAACCGAAATCTCAACCGTTTCTGTTGTTAGCATGAATGATAGAATGGTCTTGGTTTTCTTGGTTCTGAAGGAAAAAAAGCTTGATTTTTCAAAAACATTGGTTTTTGAAGTTCTCTTTCAAATCATAGAAATATACCATCAATACACTTGGATGAATTGGAATAGGTGGCTGACAGCGATAAATAGCTTCCAGAAAGGTAGCAACTGCTGAATGAGATAAATCTCTTTGCACAAGATGACACCCAGATGAGAGAAATGGCATCATTTCAGCACTAAGAGTAGCCCTTGTGAATTCCTGCAGACTTGACCATAACGAAGAGAATAATTTTATCCAGATCTTCGACGCTAAGTCATTACCTGCAAACCATGGATTTGATAAGCTTGGTTCTTTAATTTACCAGTGAAATCAATAGATGCGGTTATTTTAAAGGAAACAAAACATGGTTGGGTAAATAACCGTATCCTACAGAATCTTTGTAATAAGGAAGAACATTGTTGCATTAGCAATGGACTTGAAAAATATTCGTAGAAAATTGTAGTATTAAAGAGTTTTAAAATTGAGGAATTTAGGGAAAAAGTCAAAAAGTTGGCATACTACTATGAACAAGTTCCAAATAACTTGGAAGGATATCAGTGGTCTGGAATTTGGCAGCCATTTCGAACAATTGAACTTGCTGTTCGACGATTAAAGTGGTCTGCAGATCCTGTGTACTAGCTGTACTACAAATCGGTATGCTAATTTCTAAAAGACAACAAAAATTACTTTTTCAAAATGTAATAATCGCCGAAACAACTACATTAACATTTGATACAAAAGAAATTAACATTTGAATATGTTTAAATAAACTGAATTTAAGAGAGAACAATATAATAATATCTCTTTTTCTCCTCGTATCTCTTTTAGAAAGCTAAAATATATCACAACTAATTCTTCACAATACACGTTGTATTATTTCAAAAACCTGTTAGTGTCTGAGTTCCTGAAGTCTCCACAAAATCGTCGCGCTTGCTTTCAATTGTATCCATTGCACACAATACGAAATCATCATTATTACATGTTTCTGGATGATTTCGATATAATGTTTCTAGATCAAATATTTCCTCAAATGTATGCCATAACGTGCAACAATTCAGCAACAGAATTTGCTCCGCTTTTGTGCAATTCTTATCCTTCTGTTCGTCCATTATTAATGACAGGAAAAGCTAAATGAAGAATTTCTGAATAGATAATAAAGAAATTCAATATCCCTAAGAAATTTTTTCAGCATGAATTTTCAAATATCACCAAGACAAATTCCAAATCATAATATCTAATCAGGAAATGAATCAAAAAAACTCACATTGATGCAATGCTTGATCCAAAAGTGCTGCTGCATATCAGCCCAATTCTGTGATGTAATAATATGATATAATCGGTCACAAATATTTTTTGGTACTTGGGCATCAAATAACTTAAAAAACCGAGAACGCAATGACTCATCCTGTAAACAGAACTAAGAATACGATTAAGGAATTAACAAAAATAAAACTCCTCAGCAAGGAACCTCTGTTAGGTTAAATTGGCTTAGATTTACAAATTAATGATATTTCACTGAAAACACTGTCTGATAACGCCAGAAAAAAATTTTTAAGATGGAAAACTGAAAATCGTCATGAAGAAATTTGCTGTATAATCATCTAAATTCCATTAATTTTTAAGAAATTCAACAATGACACCTGAGAGCAAAGTCCCCAATGAAAAGCACTATTAAGTTTTGCTAATGTTTCGCTAGTTCGTAGATGCAGAGTTTCATAAACGTAAAGAACTGTTTCAAGTAGTGTCTTCAGTAAGTCTCCTGATTTTTCATGACGTTTATGCGCTTCCATTGTTTGCACCAGCCTTATTAAAAGGGGAACACCTTGATTCAGCTGCCGCTAAAAACACATCACAATTGCAACTTTCCCCTGAAGAGTTTATTATCAATATTATTATAATGCAAAACTGGTTACAATGTACCGCAACAATATATGCAATATATTATAATGTACTGTAACGAGTCTCCGATATTTCTATCTGAAATCAGAGTAACGACGATTCTATCCAATGAGTTACTACCTTAGAGAAATAAACAAAACAAAATGAATAAAAATAAAAGTGAATAAAAACAAATTAAAATAAAAAAGTACAAATAAAAAAAATTAAGATAAGCGAACCTCGTCACCATTACGCACCATAATGTCAACAACACGAATAACAATGTCAAGAACACGATCAAATGGAGTCTTATCTATAAGTGGTGTTAAAATGCACTGCCCAATATTGCGCCGTGCTTCCGGTGGTATTGCATGAATACGAGGCCGAAGAAGTTCTAGTGAGAAAATTATTAACTCAGTCAGTGCATGTCCTGAAACCCACTTTTTTATTCAGAGATTGCAATAAAAGTTTAAAATCACAGGACATTAGAGGAAAAAAGTGGTTAGATCCAAATTACATAAATGAATTTCCGCAGTTCAATTTATTTACTATTTCTTCGATCGCTCCAGATGAAAGGATAGTCTAAAACAACAGATAATGGATGGTCAAATTTTGGGTTTAAATGTCATTCTTTTCAACAATAGATAACCATAACTTGATAAAGCCTAAAAAAGGTAAAAATAGTAGACCTTTATTTTCAGTACACGAAGAAACATGTTCGCGAACAAGTTTTTGGACAGCTTTTGTGAATGAACTCAAACACATTGTATCAACGTAAGCCGGTTGAATAACACATATAGTGCGCAACAAATGGATTGTTGCAAACACACCAGTCATTGGCTGACTTTGTCCTCTAAAATCAGGTCCCCAGCACTCTTTCAATAATAGAATCTTCTTTTATCATCCTTATAATGGACAAAAAAATTATTCAAAATTAGCATCGGGACAGTTCCTATATCTAACCAGCTGGAATTACCCAAAAGATTATCAAACATTACAGATGTGTCGGGATTTCCAAACGTTTCAGAATGCTTCTAGTCTCTAGTAAAGGAAAAAAAAATGCAAAAAATAAAAACCAAGAGGTTCAATTCGCGAAACTTACTTCTCATAATTGGTGAATGTGTCGTTAATGAATTTTGTAACAAACTGGTTGATCGTTTCCAACTCAATCAATCCTTCCGATGAGCACTTTGTTTTCTCGAATAATTTAGAAATAAGTTGGCAGAGACTTCGCATTACCTTAAGTCCAAAATAGCTTCCAGGATCTCATAATTTAAAAAAGGACCAGGAACAATCAACTCATGCAAAAAATTGGAAACTACTATGTTTCCCAAAGCTCTGAAACTTACAGCGTTGTCTTGGCAACTTAAACATGCAACGATTCCGCGCTGCAACATTTTCACGTTTGCAACAATAACTTCTTGTGGCTGAAAAATTTTTTTCAGTAGTACAGATAGAACTTTGGTTGATATTTTTGACAGGTTTTTTTCAAGTATAAAGCTGGAAAGTAAAGAAGTATGCAGAACTCAAGAATTACTGCACCTTTTTAAGTTATTATTTTTCATGTCTTTTTTTACAAACATAGTTATAAAACTGAAAGCTCAGAAATTGCAACTTCAAATACTGGAAAAAGAAACTATTTAACTATTTATGAAGAACTGTTCACTCATATGTGAGTGATATTCCTTGTCCATCAAAAATGACCAAATCAGAAAGTTACCAAGTAAAAGAGCTTCTACTAACCAAAATAACGACAAGATGTGTAATAATATCTAATGATGTATGCAGCTGTGAGAAATGGTGAGCAACTGTAGTCTGTTCCCGAAATTGTTGGGTTACAGCTTCCGCAGCGACTGTCAACTGCTTTTCCAACCTATAAATATACTGGAAGTTCATTCTCTCTTCCCTACCATAATTACTGTTATTTTATTGAAATCTTAAGAAATTTATTACTAAAGAGTGTTTAAAAGCCTATAATGATGGTGAACTCAAACAGTAATTGAAAACTTATTTGAGGCATATAATTTAGGATATAACGGTTTCTACTACATATCAGTGAAATCGTAATTAGTATTCTAACAAACTTTTGCGCTAGACAACAAACAAAAATTTTAAACAAAATTTTTTTTAAACAAAGTTTTAAATGCATGAAAATCTGCAACTAATTTAAATAGTCTGTTTACCAGGAGAGTCTGAGATTAGCGGTAAGTCCCCAAAGACTGCTTTTCAGACAGGCTCGTAGTAGGCCTAAGCATCGTTTGCACAACTGTTCCATTGCTACAGCATGCTGAGTTGGATTCTGTAATTTTTATACTTTTCACCTCAGTGTGATCAGATATACAGTTGAATTAATATGAAATTTCTGTAAAGTAAATAAATTAGATATTTTCGAAAGTCTTCTTGTTGAACAAATATAAAAACTGACTGCGTCAGGTACTGCAGACGATAATTTTACAAGCATATTAACAACATGGTCCACGTGTACTTTCTCGATCGGTCGGTGTATCTAAAATCAACAAATCATAACCACTCATTGAAATCACACACATTACTGCCAGCATGTGAAAAGTAGGACTCAACTTTTTGAATGACAGTTATGTCCAACAGGGAAAAGTGTGAAAAACTCGGTTAAAGATATATATATATATATATATATATCATTCGTGCCCTTTCTAGTGTGAAAACAGAGACAAGTTTACAGCACATACACTTTCTACATCCTTGTTTTGCACTTGAGATAAACCCGAGGATGAAGATTGCTGGTGTCCTGAAGGACTTCCTGCTGTCTCAGTATGCGACTGTTTACTAGTTTCTAATCCTTTTTCCTGAAATTACTTTTACGAACAATATTTAGAGCAAAGCTTCCGACCTGTCGCCTTTCAACATTTAAAAAACATGATGTCAGGTAGCTTGAGCTACAAATGGAAGCATTAGTTCAATTAAGCAAGTAAGAATCAGCCAAACGGTTTTAAAACTTTTAAAAATTGTTTCAAAACAGTCTCAATTAAAATCGTTATTTCGTCCCATTTCGTGATTGTAGTAAAAGACGAACTGTACCAATTCTTCCGTTTGCTTAAGTCGCCACTGCTCCCATTTGATGACCATTTCGCATACATCAATAGCAGTCCGTCGATTCTCCAAAGTGCCTTGTGCTAGCATCAAACGCTGAACTCCATTCAGTATAACTTGGAGCATTTGGTGACGTACAGTGTAATAGATCTTGTAGTGACGAACTATCATTGACCTATAAAAAACAATTTTTTCCTCTGCACCCAAAATATGAAAATAAATTTCAGATATCGATTGCTTAAACAGTGAATTTTTATACGGAAATCTTACAAACAATGATAAATTTGTGAGACATTATGGCCCTCTTCAACAATCGTCTTCTTAACAACAGTCATTAATTGTTTGTGACCGTCATCCATACGTAGTGGTACAGATGGCGTTAATATATCAAGTGAACGTTTGATAATGTCTTTCGGATCGCTCAAAGTTGCTTTCAGCAAACTTAGAAAAACCTGGAGAAAAAAAATATAGTGAAAAATCATGTGAAGACCATTTAAATTTGGAATCCTGTATCAATCAAGACAAGTCTGCACCACTCTGTAACATATGTGAAGCATGACAAATGACCTTCATCCAGTATTATCCAATCATAGATTTATGAAATAAAAATTGGAATATAGAAGACAAGGAAGTCATATAAAAAAATGACAAAACCTGCAAGACGATCTTTCGATTAATGTTAAATTGATTGATAATATTAGCAATTAACAAGTGACCCATGTATTTCATTGTCTGATCCTGAGGTGTCGATGACAAACATGGCCAACCCAAAAGCATTAAAATGCGCAGACGATTGCCCTGCTTCCTGCAGTCTCTGTCATAACAACAAACGATTGAATCAGCTTTACAATACCATTTTTGAAAAGCTTTGTTACTTTTGCTAGAATGGCGATAACATAAAAAGAAATTTTCCCGAAATAGCAAAATCCCTAACAATTAAAGTCGAAATATCGAGAAACACAAACTTTTGTGAGAAATCATGTATGTGAGTTGGGCAGTTACTGACAAATAGGCATGCTAGATGGAACAGTTGAATAAGCATTGCATCACTTATATGAAATCTGTTTCGATCGAGTACTTTTTGGCAAACCAATGAAATCAGATTGTTATCGTCTACATCATCTGGCTTTGCCGGTGTACCAACCACCTGAAAAAGAGAGTCCTCTTTCCTTTTTATTTATTATGTTATTTAATGTAGTAAAAATGAAAATGTCTTTTGAAGAATAAAAAGTATTTTACAACCCTAAGAAAACAGTATTAATTGTTTGGAGTAAATCAGTACATCTGCATTGATTTGTCACACCTGCACTGATTGATACTTTTCTTTAATCAAAAAGAATTCTGCTTGCCTGGATCGGAGTGATGAAGCTTCCATTGTCATAGAAAGCAAAAACTCAACAAGGAATTACAGAAATATTGTAGAAACAAGTTCAACAATTAAATGTTAAATTATCATCAACTAACCACATCAACATCGTAACGCTCGAACGCATAATGTAGTGATGGAATGACAACATATTGAAGCATTTTAACAACATTCAAATCATACGCTGTAGACGAATCTTTTTCAAACATAGCAACTATTCGTTTCAATGCATTCTGCCGCCATTCAATAGGATATTTCTATAATTAAGGAGATTTCATGTTGTAAATAAAGATTATTGAAAAACTTTCAAAAGAAAGTAAGTAAAATCTAAGACGAAACAAAAAGTAAAATCAGATATTATTTCCTTTCTTCATCCTTTCCATGAAAAAAAAATTAGTATCTTTCTATTACTAACACATTAAAAGCATAATTAAATAATTACATGACGAAATTTAATATAATGAAATTTCACATGTCAAGGTTAATAATAAACTGGACTGAAACAAAGTTACCGGAATAATTTCTTGTTCGATAAACAATCTTACAAAGGTGAAATCACCGATGTAATTATTTGTAAACACATGACAGAGGTCGAAGAGGATATCAATGCGATCGATGTTGGCTCTGAATGATGCAACAAAACTTTAAAAAATGAAGAATGATAAATTTTATCAATTTTGAATGAAAAATTTAAGCCAGGAAGAGCATGAAATCAATTAAACGAAGTACAGAAAAGATTTCAACAAATACTTGAAATAACGCAGCATGATCAAAGCTGCTAGCTTAGGGACGTCATAACGCGGTGCCTCCAAATAATCCTGAAAGAGTTGATGCTTAGTTTTCTGGACAACAAAATTAAGAAATAACTTGAATTTTTGGTTGCTGCAAGTTTACATCTGCTTCATGATTCTTATAATCTTGAAAAAAAGGAAAAAAGGAACACAGCAAATATCTTCCCTATAAACTTGGCTTCTGGTAAAAATCGCCCCAGTATTTTTGAATCAGAATTTGTCTGAATGCATCAGTAAAAATCTAAAAAGAGAAACTGGAAAAAAAACTAGATGATTAGAAACCTTAAGCTTTTCCTTTTTGACAGAGATGATTTTACAGTGAAAATTCCTTCCACATAAATTCAACTTATATAGTCAATCGAGATAAAGTGAAAATGAAATCTGTATTGTCTCTAACCTTGCATGTGTACCGAGCGCGGAAATCTTTATCACTCCACAGTAACTGTATAGCTCTGACAATTTCGCAAGCGCCGTTTCCCGCCCAGCTTGGATGACGTTTCCCGATGCTAACAATCAGCTTCATAGTTAGCATTTCCATATCATAGATTGATAAATCACATTTTGTCCAAGTGCCGGCTTCATCCTAGATACCGAATAAATGATACTAACATAAATGATATTGCACCAAATAAGTCAGTTTAGTATAAACTTCAGATTCTATTTACTCAATCTTCAACGTTACTGAATTCAAAGGAAAAGGAAATAAACGCTTTATTTTCATTATGACCAGTCTTTTCCGAAAGGAAATAAATATTGTGTCCAGGTTATAATCGGACTACCATCAGCAGGCACACTGCATTGAGCGGTGTAATTTTTGATAATATTTGGTTACTGATATAAATACAAAGTGCAGAACTGATTAACCATAGCCTCTCCTTGCAATAACCGGAGCAAAAAACTATTGTCTGCCATTAGTTTCTCCTGAACTGCTATTGCTTCTTCATGCTTCACCACGTACTGTAAAGTAATTGGATCAGGAAAAAATATATATTATATATATATATATATATATATATATATATATATATATATATATATATATATATATATATATAT